AAAATTATCTCTACATTGAAACGTCGCCTTCCATGTAAACGGATCACTGTTCCCAAGAGGTTCAATTATGAGATCACCGCAATGGTGGAAAGCTCGATACAAAGAACAATATATCCCAAGACGATGACCCTTGTGCCTTGTCAACTACCGCAAAGCCGAATCTGTACATGCTCGCCCGAACACGATGAGTACATTAGCGTGAATGAGCTCTCCACGCAGGCCGCGCGCCTTCGCGCCTCGCTCGAAACAATACCAAGGGAAAGTTGTAGCAGATTTTTCACCTTTCACAGATGAACTGGGTTATTTCTAGAAAGGTATTTTCGTGGACGGGCGCATCTTTTGCAACCTTTGTGAAGGGTCTTGGGAGTACAACCAATGAGTCACCTGGCTCGTCACATGAAAAATCTTATAGTCATGAATGCGTAGTCTTCCGCTGCCGGAGTCAATAGAGATACTGCGCTGTGCAGGACACGCCGTGTCCGAGGCGTAGTTGCCAGCGTTTCTGCCGTCATATTGCGTCTTAATACGAAATGCGATTCGCACCGAGGAAGGTCGCAGTACGACGGCCGAAACGTTGACACTTCTGTGTAGGACGTGCCTCTTCCGAACAGCCAAAAGCCTGTCATCATCATGGCTTCTAACTCATAAGTAGTGGTAAGAAAATTTTCAATATTCTATCTATGGTAGGCGGTGAACTCTTATAAGATGGATTTACCGTGAGAAGAAAATGCCCAAATATTTAGACCTGTAAGATTCCACATTAACTGTCATCAACGGGATACTCTTGTAACGGTTTGAACTGTATTAAAAAGGTTGTACGAATAGTTGCAGGATTTTTTAAATTGTAATACTATATTTAAAATCCTGTATATTTTCGAGAAGAGCTGGCGCTCATGGCCATGGCCCTTCCCCTTACGGAAACGCCCCGGTGAGTGATGGTTAGCCTATGGTTAGCCTCTGAACTTCGGGTTCGATCGCGGCTGAGGTGCGAGTGTTTCAACCTATATCGAAGTCGCGAATCTTTTAAGGGCGAAAAATCCTTCGTATGCCATCCTTTAGAGAGGAAGTAAAGCCGTCTGTCAGTTTTAACGTTTTAAAATTAATTCATATAAAAGATCCTCAAGCCTAAAAGAAGGAGCTAAAGTTCCTGCAGTCAAGCGGAAGAGCAAGCCAGTTGCCCACGTAAAAAAAATGGATTGTTGAATTGGTATCTGGCGGAAAAATTAGAATAACGCCCAGGCATTTTTGGGTTCGCCCACAGGGCCTGCCTGTTCGAAAAAAGGTCCCTAGCCACGCATCTGTGGTAGGCTTCACAGAATGCCGGGTGCAGAATTGGGTCCATTGGCCATGTCTCCGCAAAGTAACCCCAACGTAAAATAAGTAGCCCCTTCTGAAGCAGCTCTTGGAGAATGCCGGTTTGCCCTGAACACGCTCAGCCAACCATGGGAGCCACTGACTGAAAGGAACGAAAGTGAAGGCACTGGCGCCGTTTAAACAGCTCAATAGCAGTGGCGACTGCTTCTTAAGGGCTCTGATTTCTGAAGAGAGCGGCGCGCTTTCCAGAAAAACTACCCTCGGGAAAAGTTGCAGAAATTGTTAAACTTGCAATAAATCGACTCTTAATTTGTGCATAACACCAACGCAATTTTTGAGGACGAATTTGCTTTTATGTGCCCGATTATACGAAACATAAATGTTTTTTGAAATGGGAAGCATCATGGACTACCGGGAGTCCGGCCGTAGCTCATATATGCGAGGTAATGGAAGCTTGAGGAAGAGTGGAGGTACTAGGAGTTTGGTGGGGGCAGCGTGCTCCTATTAGAGTTTTGTTCCGCAAAGGCCGCAGCTCTTAACTAAGCTAAAAGTACAGACCCTTTCATATGATTTCATAAATTACTATTTTATTTCCTGGAAATATCTTTTTTTTAAATCTCTTATTTTCGCGTGAGCACAATGGCATCTTCCGCTATCAACGTAAAAGTTGTCTTAGACAAGGATACGTGCCTATCTGTTATACTGTACATGCATGAAGAGGTAAAATGTATGTGATAGTTTGGACATACATGTCGCCCCTTCTAATTCGCAACCCACCGGCCGCCACAGCTCAATAGAAACATGTATAATTACCTGCTGCGTTGGCGCAAGTAGTTGCGATCGGATATTCTTGACTCGGGGATCGGAGGTTTTTCGTAGTAATGGAAAGAGAAGCAACTACAGATGCACTGGGTTGAACGCGACATACGTCCGAAAAGAAATTCTCGCAGCCTGCTGTCCTGGTTTTGGTGAGGCCGGAGCCCATTAGACAGTAGATGCACGTTTCTAAGTCGGATAAGACATTTAACTTTTCCTTTAGACATGCAACTTTCTACGTTAGGTTAACGGCCTAATCTTATCCAGAATGATTTGGTTAACGAATATTAAATTGATCACAATATCTGTTTACATTAGAGATTCAAATTGTTAGGACATCCCTTTAAATATCTAAATGCCTTGACTCGCAAACTAAAACGTTTATGCAATCAGTAATCTTGGTTGTTAATGGAATGGAATGTTGCGTGTAGCGTTATGGTGTGTTCCTAATTTATGTTCATTTATTTATTGGAGTGTGTTAGATTGGGTTTCTGATGCTGTCGTTCTATATGTATCCTTGTTTCCTTTACATTTAAAAAGCATTTTACCTATTCACAAAATAATTTAGATTAAAGAAGACATTCCAAAATCTCTTAAAAATATACATTGATTCATCAACTTCAGGGAAGACAAAATCTCTAAAATATTTCAATTGTTAATATATGGTCAAATTGCATTGAATTATTTCTACCTTATTATTATAATTTTCTATTATTCTCATTTAAAGTGAGCGTTTGAACTTGAGTGGATTTATGATAATTGTTTGTTTTCTCTCTGCCCAAATTTTCTTTGTGGGTTCACTGTGCAGTTTTTTCGCTTTCCATTTACATCCTGGCTTCTTCTATGTTGTGGTGTCAAATGTATGTTTTTTATAGTGTTCCTGAATAATTTTCTTCTGCATCATTTATTGTTATGTATGCTTGTCTGAGGTCCTCCTCGACTCCTTTTATTCACTTCATTTTTCGTTTGATTGAGTTGATGACTGTAAGAATCCGCCTCGAATTTCTGTTTTCATTCATCTTTTTTTTTATCCATCCTGTAAATGAACCTGTGAATTCTACCCCATTATTATAAAAAAAAATTTCCCTGTTGGTAACTTTCTTCACAACGCCCTGACCGAACGTAATAAGTTCATAAACTAACAAAATCTTCTACATATTCAAACAGTACAATAATCTTTCAAGAACATATAAAAATGAGCTTCTTCAAAATGTAACATTTTCCTCCTTTTGGTTGATTTAACCTAACATTTGACAGATTGAAGTTAATTTTCCTAAATTGTGAAGTTAAATTAATCGTTTCTTGGGAGCATAAGAGGAAGAGTAATAAAAGTATCAATACGGGCATTTTACTCACGAATTTATACCTTAACTGATATCACACAGAAGTGTATATTCATATACATACACTCAAACGAATTTTGAATTATGTATTTCGTCTTTCTCTTAAAAGGTCAAGAATATGAATAAAAACAATTCAAATATTTGTTTATCACATTGTTTTTAACCTGGCGTTTCATCTGATTACCATATCCATTCAATCACAAGATCGGGTGTTTTCATTCCTTATCTTAGTTGATAGTGATTGATTGTAAAGAGTAAATGTTATCATGTCATAAGCTTACTAGAGTGCAAAGTTAATTCTTCATTGACTTTTGATGTTGACGCTTCACTCTGATGCACAGCATTCAGAGAAACTTAAAGTGATCACTCACATTCTACTATTGAACACAGAACCTTTAATTTTGAAAGAAACAAGATAATATATGTAGATGGTTATGAGAATGTAATCCATATTCGCCGTAAGTCACAAGTGATCATTGATTCACCATATTCAAATGCCTAACCGACATATATTATTGTTTACTATGTATATTCACTTCAGCATAGCAACCGTCGGCGTACGGTCTCCTTGATATTTTATTAACCGTAATAGTAAATATACGGTGAAAGAAGTCAGAGAGATGACTGTCAATCCCCAAATCCTTCTTGAAAATTTGTAGTTTCCATCCGTAAATGAATGCCAAATATATACCATTCTGTATCCCCAATTCTCTCCTTGTTAAGTGAACGAATATTTAAAAGTGTATATCTCCAACCAACTGATGGCTCAGAGCATCAACTGATGTCGCAGCACCTCTGTTCGAGAGGTCCTAGGTTCGAGTGCTGGCGGCGACAGTTTTTTTTTCGGCACTAACCTGTCAGCTAGGTCGAATAAAGTCTCTGTCTGGAGAAGAATTCTAGCGGCAGGCTCCTACGAACTTTATTAGTTATTTAAAATTATAACAAAAGTTATGAATTATACTTCACAGGATCATTATTGTAGTGTGTATTCTCGCTTTCTGTTTGTAAATTCAGAGCACCTATGTTCAAGTAAGCACTAATTTTTGCGACAGTGTTAACATAAATGCCCCAGATCTCAGTGAATAAAACTTATAAGAGACATAGTAAGAAGTTTTTCTATAAAAACATAATGACAGGCGTATGAAGGGGAAATCACAACAGATAATTTATATGACAGCGTAGGAAGTCAAGTATTCGAATTCCTGAAAACGTTATATTAAACAGCCTGGAACACTTATGGCTCAAGGTTTCATAAATCAGAGAATTAAGCAACTATCCACCAACTACTGTCATGCGCTGTTTAAAAAAATATTACGTACAGCCAGTTCCGTGTGAAAATTATTTTTCATATCTAATTGATTTGATGATTAATGAATAAGATTTTTGAAATACCTTTTTAAAACTAACTTTATTATATTCTAAAAAAATGACGGTGGTGAGTACTTATTGATTCTTATAATCATGATGTTTTGATAGTTTTCAGAGAACGAGAGCATGCGTTTTAAACATACTTCCACCACCTTAACATTACGATTTCATAAATTTAGTAGCGCTGTTGTAGGTCTCTTTAAAATGAACAGAGATGAAGAAGTTGGTATAACCAAGTGTTAGCTATGACAGTACTTAGGAAGAACTTTAAAATTCAAATGAAGTGTGCACGTAGTTTAAAAAACGTTTCATAGAAACAAATTTTCACTTATCTTACCTTCATCAGTGGACGGAACTTTTTCCGTTGCTCCGGTGTCACTGCCTGTCTCCAATACAGTCCATGTGACAAGACCTGCTGCTAGTGTAGTTGGGGCAGGAGTGGTTGTCGAACTGGGTGCAGCACTGGTAACCCCACTAGTAGAGGGTGGTTTCTGAGGTGTTGGAGAAGTGCCGTTCGTGCTACTGACAAGGACGTATTGCGTTGACTGCGTGGTAGTGGGTACTGTGGGCCGCTTCGTCGTAGTCGTCTGCGGTCTCTTCGTGGTGACCGAGCCGGGTTTAGCAGACGTGAAGTATGGCTTTTGAGTGGTAACAGGCCTCCTCGTCGGGATCGTCGGCCGCGCTGTTGTGACATTGACCGGGGGTCTGGGTCTGGGTTTGGTGGTAGTTGGTCTCGGGGTAGGATAGGTGGGCTTGCTCGTCGGCTTGGTGGCAACGGATCCCGTCGGCCGCTGCGGCGTCGGAGGCCTGGGAGTCCCAGGAGCCGGAGGTCGCTGCGTGGAGTTGCTTGGTTTCAAAGGGCCCGTGGTAGGCTTTGGCGTCGGTGGCCTCGCGGGGGGTTTCGCCGTAACCGGCTTCTGCGCCGTCACCGGAGGTTTCCCGGTCGCCGGCTTGGTCGGGACGGTGGGTCTCGGAGTAGGCGGCCTGAGCGTGCTCGGTTTCGTCGGCAGGGTCGGCTTTGGAGGAGGCGGTTTGGACGGCGCCTGCGGCCGCGTAGAGTTTTGCGGCCGCTGGGCCGCGGTGACGCCGGGCTTGGCGGTGGTGGGTTTGGAAGTCCCCGGTTTGGACGTCACCGGCCTCGCGGGCACCGGTTTGGTCGGCGTTGGCGCCGGTGGTCTCTGCGGTCTGGTCGGTGTGACGGCCGGTTTGCTGGTAACCGGCTTCGTGGGAACGGGCGGCGGCGAGGGCGGCGGCTTGGAGGGTGTGGTGGACGAGCCGGGGGTTGGAGACGCCCCCGAAGTGTGGGCGCTCGAGGCAAACTGCGTGGAGTGCGGAGGCGCGGGGGCACGCGTGGGCGCGGTGGTGTACGAGGCCGTGGACAGCGTCTCGTCGATGCCGTTGCCGTTGACGGTCTGGAACGTGGAGAGCGGCGCGTCGAGCGGCGGCGCCGTCGTCGCCAAGGTCACCGACGGAGGAAACGCCGCCAGGGTGTTCTCCTCGTTGTTCAACGAGCCCTCCATTTTGCAGCAGCTTCCGAAGTAGAACCTGCGAAAGAAATTCATTAATTGAGACGCACGTACGTTATATAAGAAAATAAACAAAGCGAAGGCTTCTCTGCGTCTGATAGCTCGGAACCGCGGGTGTCACGCCAGCCGAGTCCTACGCATGAACTCGATGTAGTGCGGAGAAGTACACATTTTGAAGATGTTTGTGCTTAGAGAGCGACTTACAAGAATTAGAGCGTCTGGCTTTTGGCCCGCCTGTTGGTGTGCTCAAAATGGATGGAGAATCTTAAATTTCTGAGGAGATTAGTGACTCTTGTTTAGCGTAATAGGTGTACGTTGACGGCATAGATAAACATGACTTTTATAATCATACTTTTTATTTTCATAAGGTTTACGTATTAGTGCCAAAGCAAACTCCCTCATATCATTTATTGCCACTATTATATAGAGGGCATACCTTCATTAAGAAAGTTAATCCGGGAGGATTCGAGCCTGAGTTATCTAATTTAACATTAATCATTATTGTTTATAGGATGCGACCATGTGATGAGCTCTAAAAAACGATGTTGTTAAAATAATTTCGTTGATTTTACTTTCTCGACGTACTACGAAAGACGTTTTGAGAGAGTATTGTATTGAGAGAGTATTGTAGGCGGAAATCCGATGTTTTTGTCAGAAAAACTCTTATTGCCAGGCCTTCGTAGCAAAAAAATGGATAAACGTTTCTCCTAAATGTAGCAAATTTCTTCCTCTAATATTTTCTATAGTCACAATCTATGTTTTGAAGGTTCTTGATACTGAAAAAAAACACTATCAAAACGTCGGCCAGTGATCAACGATAGCGCCTAAAACGTTCAAACGATTTTCTCAAATACCGATACTCCTTGCTCGATCTGTACGAACTCAAGGCATTGCGAGTTTTAAACGGATATGTTTATTTTTGGAGATAGTTGCATGAAGTCTCAAAAAAATTTGCAAAATTTTCTCAAAAACGGCTCCAAATTTTTTAAGCAACTTTGCTATCAGATAGCGTAGAGGACGCTAAAAGCGGCACAGGTGTCTTAAATTTCTGAATTCTCGAAAACTGCAAAGCATATATTTCGCATTAAATGTATGACATATGACAGAAAAATGTAACCAATAACAAGGGAAAATATTTGGAGAAATTTATTTCTAATAAGGAACTTCTCAAAATAACTAAATAAGTTGCATATTGCACTTAACATACGACATTCGTATTGCGTAATAAGACCATTGGAATGATATTTATAATACAGATAATAAATATTAATCATATTAATAAATAATATATATATATATATATATATATGAAAATATATAAAATAAATATAAATATAATATAAATAATCATATAAATAAATAAATAATAAATAAAAAATAATAAATAAAAAAACATATAATAAAATTACATTTGTCGGCAAAATCCTCTCTATATACCGTACGCTACGGATAGATGAAAGTTTTCACAATTTATAGGAAATAGATACAAACCCCTAGAAGCGTGCAACTACTGGATAGGAACAGTCCTGCTTTTAACAGATTTAAGATGAAAAAAGTTTCCAGTTGATGACATGAAAAACGGATTACTGCAACACATTATAATTGGGCTTAGCTCGGAAACCATGAGCCCAGGCCCTTAAAACGACGGCTTTTTTTGTACGAAAAGGACACTAGCTTTGTGGGGGAGGCGAATTATGAGGGGAGTGAGGTTTGGTGGGTAGGTGGGGCGAAGGATGGCGATAGGTGGGGAAATGAAGGGCGCAAATGGGGTCCAAGTTATGCTTCTTAGATAATATTCTACCAAATTAAATCTTTTTGAACTGTTTATTTCATTTTTGGAATTTTAGTTTTTTTTTTGGGGGGGGTGCTCCCACACCAGAGCATAGGTGATTAAAACGTACTGGAACCGGAAATATATTTAAAAATAAGTTAAAAGGAAAATAACTAATTTTTAACAATAAAATTGAAGAGTGTTCGATTTTCTGTGCAATTTACTCTGCAGGCTTAGCAATAGTAAAATTAATTACTCTCGCACAGTACCTCGCCTGGAATGCAGTAACGCACAACCCACGGGCAGACTGTTGGATGTTGCATTCCACTTTGAAGTAATTTGCTCCTTTAATACTATTAAGTATATTCTTTGTCACCTTCTGGTTTGAATTATTGTATATTTTGTCCAATCATTTATTTTATGAAAGTCAATAATAATTTAGGCAAGTAAATGCCTCTGATTTCTTAAATTCCTGTACTTAATATAGAAACGTTTGCACTCACGAGAATTTATATCATTATATTATACACCTGCATGATAATAACTGTTATAAAAATGTAATGTACCGTTGTAGATCTCCTGAAGATGAGCGAACGCAGACGCTCGAAACGTCGAGAATAAAACTCAACTCGTGCATCAATGTGGTACTATAAAACCTCCATAAAATAAATTATTATTTACCTTCAGAAAATAAATGGTGACCTTCATAAAATACGATAACTGTTAAAACTATTCATAAAGTGGGGAGTTTTCGCTTGGGTCCAGCTAGTCTTGCAATATTTTAAAAATATTGCCCAACCGATGAATTATTCTTTCGTTTACATAAGGAAGTAAGACACTTTTTGACCACTTTTAGTTTTTCACACATAGATAAGAAAAACAACAAGCTTTCGTTAGACAGTAAAAACTTCGCGTCTGGGCGCAATGGCGGTATTTCATTCTTAATATAATATGTCTAATTAAGAAAACGTATCCCGGAAGAACTTCCTCTGAAAGGTAAAACTTACATACCACTGTAGGCTATTGTATTTACACAATAGCACTACGTTTCTGTAGACATGAATTAGGCCTTACTAAACCGACCATTAAATCTCACGTTCAGCCGAGTACTGTTCATAGAAAAAGAGGTCTAAATGTAATCGTGGATTTTCTTTTTTTCTTTGTGGCTAAAGAATTTCCTGTGAGTAACTATCGTCTCAATCTCGTGACGACCGTTTACAACGGACTTAGGTTAAAAAGTTGTCAGTTAATAGGGGATGTACTGTATATCCAATTTCAGAATCATCCACACTTTTATCATATCTATTGTAGCAGAAAATCATGATGTTTCAAAAAGGCTCCGTTAAATGATCATCGAAACGCAGCCAAAACGCATGCCCAGAAAGTTCTATAACTGTACAACTAAAACCTTTTTATTTAGATTCTATTTTATGTGTTGCTACTAAAATTTTCGAGGTGGCAAATTTAAGACTCTTCTTAATAAAAAGTGTATTTATAAATTGGTACATTTCTTGTTTGCGATCAAAACGAAAATAGATTTTTGCGTAACTAATATATTAGCTAAATAAATCCTTTCTAAGTATTCTTTCTTTGAATATGATGATAATTTATAGATGGTTTGCACTGCTAACAACTCAATAGGAGGCAGCTAAAGTAACTGGCAGAATGTTGCCAGTCTCCTATGTTCAATGTTCATCCCAACATATCACATACGTCTGTATTGCAGTATTGTAATTGTGTATAAAATCATGAAAGAAAAACTAAAGAACTGTGTCGATATTTTTTCTCAACTGTGAATATGCAGTTATTTTAACACTAAATCCACCCTGAAGTAAATTAATTCGTTGATAATTGCACCAGAGCGAGTTCAAAAAAAAAAATTTTTTTTGCTCTTTCACAAACTGCAAGTCACCAAATTTTTCACAGGCAGTCACGCGAAGAGAAGACAATGTGAAATGAAACGTTTCTCTACGCTTCACAATACAAGCCACGCCTTCGTGTGTTTACGTCGTGGTGCATCTCAGAAGGAGAGAGTATGTGAAAATGATATTTCTACAATATTTATTACAACCCATGGTTTCACTTTGAAGAGAAATATGGCTCTATGTAAGTGCTTTTGTTACTCGTCGTTACATTTACTTTTATTTCATATATTCAATTCATTTATTTTTAATCTGATAAGAAAATTCTTGTCTCTTTGGAGGTAGGGCCAAATGTCGGTCAGTAAGTGTTAAAATGTTTTTATCATAAAGAAACTCACGACACCGTGCGAAAAATAGTTTTTATAAAGATATATCAAAAACATAAATCCACATGGAAAAAAGTGACTGTCGTTCAATCTCATTGCCCGCCTTCACCACACACCATATATATGGTTTATATTATATATTTTATATATATTATATGTAAAAGACAATGTTTGTTTGTTGGATTGTTGGTTCATACTCGTACTTAATGCGATGCCGTACCGTTCATCCGTTTGCGATAAAACTTAACGTAGAGTGCCCTGAACAGTGTGCTCTACGTAAAGGTGCTTGACGTAACACATTGCTCAGTGAAGTACGATTATTAAGATGTATTTCTTGCATATTCTGCCCTACGATTGTGAAATTTCTCTCGGGAGAGACAGAGACAGGGAGAGACAGCGGAAGACAGAGACGCAGAGAGAGAATCAGAAATAGAGAGTCAGAGAAAGAGAGAGAAACAGAGAGACAGAGATGGAGAGAGACGGGGAGAGAGACGGGGAGAAAGATGGGGAGAGAGATGGTCTCGCAAGAATGTCTTTCGTTTATTTAAATTTTTTGCAGAGCGTGGCATCAAACGTGATTAAATATCACATGACCAGTAGCATGTGAAGTATCCATTTCAACAACGAAGCGTTGCCGGGTCCAATATATACTTATAACTAGTAAAATGTGGTGTCGCCGGCGATATAAATTGTTTCAAAATAAGTTTCATGAGTTGATAATTTCTTTCATACTTCATTTCTTCTGGATTCTTCGTCCGACAGCGGTGGCAAGAGGTTGTCAGAACTATGCTGTGCGACACTCTCTGAACTGTTGCGATAAAACCGTTACTTCGTAGTTCGCCTCTCCATTAGCTGAATGGTGGGGAATCATCGCATCGCGACAATACTAAATTATAATCTAGTGAAGTGAACCACACAAATGCTACTGGTAAATAATTCATCGAAATAATTCCGGTGAAGAGCGATTCAGTGCAAAGTTGTGTAGTGAATGGCATGCATC